CTCCAACCGCTGAGCCAAACCAGCCAGGGCCATGCACGGTCCCTTTAAGAGGAACTGCCTGGGACTCCAGAAGGCTCAGTTTCCAATGGTTTTTACAGTTGGAAGTTATGGGGACTTCTCTTCCTGGTACTGGAACCTGGGGCTAGCGGTCCTGTGGTGGGATGGGGACCCCCCCACTCCTCAGGGAGGACCTTCACAACTGAGGTGTCCTCCTGATTTTTATCTGCCACATGTGGGTGTGTGACCAACCCATCTGTGCCTCTGCCCCTCCTACTAGTCTCAGTGTGGCTTCTTCAATTTCATAGTTGTAGGACTTCCATTCAGCTCGATGTCAGATGGTTCTGAATGATGGTTGTTCTGTAGTGGTTGTGAGAGGAGATGATACCACATTTATTTACACCATGATCTTGGTGGAAGTCCTTAAAAAAGGAACCTTAAGAAAGGAATTTTAGCCTTGGCCAGTTTGGCTCAGCGCTTAGAGCATCAGCCCACAGACCAGAGTCCTAGATTTGGTTCCCGCTAAGGGCACGTACCTCGGTTGCAGTTTGTTCCCAGCCCTCTTAAAGGGCCCGCACACGGACTTACTCAGACTTGCTCCCTCTGAGCTCCAAGGGGAGGCAGCTCGAGGGGTGCCAGAGACATACAGGAAAGAATTGAGCTGTTTGGCCTCGGGATGAGGGCTGGAGAAGTGGCTTTCTCCTGGGCAGACATGCTGGCGGAGGCTGATGTTGCTTTGGTGAGCCCTTCCCCCACAGGGCTGGCAGACAGGTGCCATTTCTGGGACTCCAACAACCTGGCTCACACTGTTTGCCCTGCCCCAGTGATTTCCTGAGGCCCTGCCCCACCCAACTTTCAGGCCCACCCAAGCTGTTGCCAGTGGCTTTACCATAGGATTAGCCTGTCTTGGATCCTGCTTCAGAATTTCCTAAGATCTCTCAAACAAGCAGCATCTGGTCTCAGCAAGCCCCATACCTCTCGTTAAGTGGCCCCAGGCCTGGCACTAGAAGCAGCCAGCCTTGGTTTACAACTGGGCTTTTCCTGAGCATCTCCAAGCCCAGCACAAGAAGCAGCCATCTGCAGATCACTTTGTAGCTTATGCCTGGTGGCCCCGGGTAGAACACAGGCAGAGGCTGACCTTGCCCCAGAGCCAGCACACCTAGTGGACAGCTTCAGATCACATCAAAACACCACCACCCAACCACCTCCACAAGTGACACACTCAATGAGTGGACTCAGTGGGTACCAGAGCCCTGCTGAAGTAAGTCTTGCTCTGTGTGGTGGGCCCTGCATAGCTGATTCTCCAAGGGAGTCAGAGACCAGTGGTCAGTGGGCACAGCCAGTCCTTGCAGCTGATCAGCCTGAGTAAATCCCTCCCATTGACGTGCCAACAACAATCAAGACTCAATTACAGCCCTGGCCGGTTTGGCTCAGCGGTTAGAGCATCGGCCTGCAGTCCAGAGAGACCCAGGTTTGGTTCCCGCTAAGGGCATGTACCTCGGTTGCAGTTTGTCCCCGGCCCTGGTTGGGTTGTGCGGGTGGCAGCCACTCGATGTGTCCCTTTCATGTTGATGTTTCTCTCTCTCTGTCTCTCCCTCTCTCTCCTTCCCGCTCTATCTGAACAAAGGAAAAAATGTCCTCAGGTGAGGATAAAAAAATATAAATAAATAAATAAATAAAGACTCAATTACAACAGAAGGGTGTACAGTCCACACTAGGGGTGCACCTCAAGGGCCCAGCTGGGGTGATCCAGGGGGCTGTGCCACTGGATCCTACAGGACACCTATAACCGTTGGCCACCCTATGAAGACTAGGAGACAAACAACTCTACCTAATACATAGAAACCATCACAGGGAAGCAGCCAAAATGAGGAGACAAAGAAACATGTCCCAAATGAAAGAAAAGAACAAAACTTCAGGAAAAGAACTAAACAAAATGAAGATAAGCAATCAATCAGATGCAGAGTTCAAAAGACTGGTTTTAAGGTTGCCCACGGAACTTGGTGAGACATTTAAGGAACTTCAGGAGACCTCCCAGGAACTTAGTGAGAACATCAACAACATAAAAAAGAACCAGTCAGAAATGAATGATGCATTAACTGAAATAAAGAATAATTTACAGAAAACCAATAGTAGAATAGGTAAAGCCAAGAAGCAAACCACTGATTTAGAATAAAAGGAAGCAAAAAACACCCAATCAGAACAGCAAAAAGAAAAAAGAATCCAGCTCTGGCCAGTTTGGCTCAGCAGTTAGAGCATCGGCCCGCGGACCAGAGATCCTGGGTTTGGTTCCCGCTAAGGGCACGTACCTCAGTTGTGGTTGGTGCCCGGCCTTGGTTGGGGTCGTGCAGGTGGCAGCCGGTCAATGTGTCTCTCTCACATCAATGTTTCTCTCTCTCTCTTCCTTCCTCTCTCCCTCCTACTCTATCTGAAAATAAATGCAAAAAATATATATATATATCTTCAGGTGAGGATTAAAAAAAAGGATCCAAAAAAATGAGGATAGTGTAAGGAGCCTCTGGGACAACTTCAAGCATGCCAACATTTGCAACATAGGGGTGCCAGAAGGAGAAGAGAGAGAACAAGAAATTGAAAACCTATTAGAAACAATAATGACAGAAAACTGTCCTCACTTGGTGAAGGAAACAGACATACAAGTCCAGGAAGCAAGATGAACCCAAAGAGTTCCACACCAAGACACATCATCATCAAAATGCCAAAGATTAAAGACAAAGAAAGAATCTTAAAAGCAGCAAGAGAAAAGTAGTTTGTAACCTACAAAGGAGCTCCCATAAAACTGTCAGCTAATTTCTCAAAAGAAACTTTGCAGGCCAGAAAGGAGTGGCAAGAGATATTCAAGTGATGAAAAGCAACGACCTACAACCAAGACTACTCTATCCTGCAAAGCTATCATTTAGAATTGATGGACACATCAAGAGTTTTCCAGCGCTGGCTGTTTGGCTCAGCGGTTAGAGCATCAGCCTGCAGTCCAGAGAGACCCGGGTTCAGTTCCCGCTAGGGGCACGTACCTCAGTTGCAGTTTGTCCCCGGCCCTGGTTGGTCGTGCAGGTGGCAGCCACTCGATGTGTCCCTTTCACGTCGATGTTTCTCTCTCTCTCTCTCTCTCCCTCCCTCTCACTCTATCTGAACAAAATATGGAAAACTGTCCTCGGGTGAGGATTAAAAAAAAAAAAAAGAGTTTTCCAGACAAGAAAAAGCTAAAGGAGTTCACCACCAAACCGGTATTATATGAAATGTTGAAGGGTCTTCTTGAAGGTGAAGAAGAACAAAACTATGAACAATAAAATGGCAATTAATACATATCTATCAACAATTGAATCTACAAACAAAATGAACAAGCAGAACAGAAAGAGACTCCTATATGCAGAGAACTTTTTGTTGCTTGCCCGATGTGGAGAGGCTGGGGGGATGGGTGAAAAAGATGAAGCAATTAAGAAGTACAAATTGGTTGTTAGACTGATAAACCTCAAAGGGAAGGGGGGAGGGAGGGCCGGATGAGATGAATCAAAGAACTTCTATGTATATATGCATAACCAATTGTCACCAATAATAGTGTGAGGAAGGAGAGGTCAGTGGGGAAAAAAGGTGGGTACATCTGTAATACATTCAACAATAAAGAGGAGTTAAAATTAATTAATTAATTAATTAATTAATTAAAGTAATTTAACAATTAAAAAAAAGAAACATGTCCCCCACTGGGGATTGGGCCCACAACCTGGGTGTGTGCCCTGACCGGAAATGAAACCAGCCACCTCTGTCGATGCTCAACCAGTGAGCCACACCAGCTGGGTGTGATCAGATCTTTAACCATCATTTTAAGTCTGTCACTTACAGAGAGTCGCTGTCTTAGTCTGATTTTTTTGCAAATATGTTTCAGAGAGATTCATGTAGAAGACTCTGACACTTACTTTAAAGTACATGTTTCTGTTTAACTGTCAGATATACCTTAGAACTGGATGAGGATTTGCAGAACTTTAAGGAAAAACTGGATTCATAAAACTTAACAAAAAGAGCAAGATGAACAAGAATTAATAACATGGGACTGAATGAACTGATGAGGATGATTACAATTTTTATGACTTTTTATTTGAAATATTGCTGGTTATTTACTCTTGTTTTTCTAGATATAAGGAAATCCTTTCTCTTTAGCAACCTATGAATTAGAGCAATTACACCTTTGTAAGCAGAATTGAAACATTTACCTTTTTCTATCTACTTGATCTCTCCAGAATTCAGAAACTCTCAGTGAGTATTCTTATTTTCACAGTAATATTGTTATTTGCATAAGTTAAAAAGAATCAGTTCTCCTTGTAACAGGACACAATTAGAAACTGACTATACTACCAAGGCTCTCACTGGATGTCGTATTTGAGAGAGACATATGTAGATTCAGATATGAGCAAACAGCTTCAAGGAATTAAGATTGGCTTATGGAAGCCAATAAAACCCTTGGATATATCATCCTGGTACTTTGCTTACAGTGTTCTCTTTGCCTTACCAGAGAGTAAAGAAGGTCACTTCCTGGCAGGTGCAAGAACCTCAGTTACTCTGGGGACCTCAAGAAGAGAGGAACTCACCCAAATCTACAGGTATTGCAGGCATCTAATTAATGGCAAGTCCTTGCCTTGACTTTTCTGGCCTCAAGGGACCTTTAAAGTTCAATCTGAAGATTCCTCATGAAAAATTCCAGCAAAGCAGATTTAAAAGAGCCTATAAGGTTACTTACCATTCTTGCTGTTCCTATGTAAAATACAGGCCAACTTTGTTGAAACTAGACTTATTTCACAAACAAATTAGTCTTGACTATATTTGGTAAAAATGAGGGTTATTTTAGAGAGAAAATTATGTTTAAGTCATATACCTTTTTTGGATATTAGATTCTAGTGCTGTTCATTATCTCTTGAGGTTTTGTTCATACCTGTAAACTGGACCAGATCCTGAATTCTTCTAGTTTCTTCTAACATCTCACTACAACTCTCCAAACTAACATTCTCAGTTTTTCTCCCACCCTTCGACTTGTAATCCTTGAGAAATAAAACTGCCCCTTTCCCAAAGCCATACAAGCTAAAGTGAGCAACTGATATAAACGTCAGAGAAATCACAACAGTTCATCCATAGACAGTCTTTGCACCTGTTGCAGAAAGATCGCCAAAGACATTCAAACTGAAGACCCGGAGAACTATCAGACTCTCCCTGCCTGTCTTCACTCCATCTGAAGGTGGTTTGAGCCAGACATCTAGAAATCTCGACCAGCTGCCTTCAGAATTCAGAAACTGGGATTATAGTCTGCTCCAGTTATTAAGCATTGTTTTTCTTTTGTTTCCATAGAGATGCCTCTTATTAAACACCTGATTATTTGCATCAAGTGACCTAATTTTGGGAGCCACCTGCATCACGGCTTTGAAACAACTGTTTAACGGAACTGACCTGCTCTCTGAAACTGATATATAATGATAATGTCTTAACTAGTCTTTTCCTGATGCATCGACCTAAAAATTGGTACAAATATTGAGCTGACTATAAAATCTACATGGTAAGCATGTCTTTAACCCATACCCCCACTCTGAGGGGCATGATGGATCCAAGGAAAGTATTGTTTCCCTGGCATTAAGGGACTTTAAAATGTTCTGTTTGATCTACGATGTTTTCTAAGAGAAAATTCCTGATCAAAAGGGGGAAATGAGAAGTAGAGTGAAGAACTAAAACAGAGTTGACGGCAGGCAGGGGAAAACCATGTGGTGTGCCGCAGGGTGGGGTGACCCACTGGGGTGACCTAGATAGAGCCTTGGGTCCCCCTCTGCCTCCTCCAGCCAGGGCTGAACATCAGTCATGGGGTGAGAGGGCTGCTGTTACTCACCCCAGGCCCCCACACTTGCCCACTCATGGGAAGGGAACCTGAAGTGTGAACAAGGAGTGAGAACTTTCCATCTCCAACAGGTGGCATCAGCTTTTCCTCTTCTCCTCCGCCCCAGACACCACCCCCAGGCCATCTCTCTCTCAGACACCCTCCCAGCTCTCCTTCATCCTCCTCCTTTCACACTCCATGAGCTGTTTTTCTTGCCCCTTGGAGGACAGTTGACTCTGGGGTGGTGGCAAAAGGTCCTTCAGGTAACCAGCAGGGGAGAAGTACTGGGTCTCCTCAGCCATCTTCTGGGCCAGTTTCAGCTTGGCCTGTCTGAGTGGTGTTTGCCTTTTCCTGTAATGACCCCTCTCTCACTGTTGGGAGGAACCCAAGAGAAGAATGCAGTGTGGTGGGGACCGTGTGGCTCTGAGAATCAGAATGCTTGGAGATGCTTTGGGGTTTGAGGAGATCCCCTTCCTTCTACCCTCCCACTGAGCCAATGCTGGGACAAGGCTATCCAGAGGCACAAAGTGGGTGGGATCCCAGGGATCAGAGGCAATACGTGTTATGAATTGTTTCAAGCATCCAGAAAAACACAGAGACTATTTAACCAATCCTTGTGTACCAGCTCTGAACCAAGACATGTTAGCATCTCCGCATCTGCATGAGCAGCTTTACAGCTTGACATTCTTTATTTTCATCAAACTCAAAATCAGTGTCCAAACAGTGTCCCACATTATCTTCTCCACGGCCACGAGGTCCCTGGTGTCTGGGTCCCCAATATCTGGGCTGATGAACATATTCCCACCACGCAGGGCGACCATCACCCCACCATGACAGCCCCAAAGAAGGTCTTCCCTCTCCTATAGTCCACCATATCGGGGTGGCTGATGTTGACGTACACCCTCTCGCCCCTCCGGAGCTGCACCAGGCCGCCGAACCCCACGCTCGTGTACCAGAGCCTCCGGGCCGGTTCCAAGCTCACGGTCTCGGCGCCCTCGAGAAGCAACTCGAGAGTCCCGGGCCCGTAGGCGCCCCCCGCCCGGTACAGCCGGCTGTGCAGCGTGACCCAGCGGTCGAGGGGGTCCCGGTCCGCAGGGGGCGCCCGGCCTCGGAAGCCCACGTGGCAGTAGAGGTAATAGAGGCCGTCCCGCGGGAGCGCCAGCCCGTCGGCGCCGGAGAACTGCGCCCCGCTCCTCAGAAACGCCTCTTCTTTCTTCGCCTCCCAGCCCAGTCCCTGGCCCTGCGTCCAGGCGCCTGCGGAGACACGGGGGGCGGGCAGCAGGGAGCCGGGCGGCTGGGGCATCGCGCTGCCTCTGCCGCGGACGACTTGGGGACCGAGGGCACCTGGTGTGGGGTGCGGAGCACGCGCAGGGGAGGTCCAGGCCGGGAGGGAAGCCAGAAGCTGGCCCGCGGCGAGGAGCGGGCTCTTGGGGGCGCGAGGGGTGAGTGCCCCGGGCTGAGCACGGCGGCACCGGGCGAAGGGCTGGAAGGGCGCGGGGCAGAGCTGGCCCGACTCTTCGGGGCGAGGAGAGCCTTACCTATGAGGTGGGCGGCCGGAAGCCTAGGACCGGGATCTGTTTCCGCGTCCTGCCCCGGCAGCTCCTGGGACCCTGGAAGGGGCGAAGAGTCCACGCTTGGGGCAGGGCGGCCACCATACATGGTCTCCCTGAGAGGACGGGGCGCCGGGGCCCAGGGTTGGGGCACCTGGACTCCTGGGGGAACAGTAGAGAGCATCTGGGGATGCAGATGGATGTGAGCTAGGAGTCCCTGAGGGACTGGGGCACGGGGCGGGGGGCCAGGGCGTTGCTCTTACCCAATCGCTGCTGGGCCTGTGCTTGTGCCCCTGGATCAGTGGTCTCTGTTACCTGGGTGGGTGGGGTCACAGTACCCAGAGTTGAGCCTTAGCTGACGCCAAACCCACCATTCCCAATGTAGACCCAACCTCCCAAACCACCCATCTCACTGGAAGGGAGAGCAAGCAAGGCAGATATGCTTGGGCAGAGAGACAGAAGTCTGAGTATGTCTTGGGAAGAGGAAGGAGACAAACAGACAACCAAGAAGGGTCTTGGAGACATCAGGACACAACAGCATCACAGGAATATGGAAAGAGAACCAGCAAAGAGGCAGACCAAAATCCCTGCCAGACAGCCAAGCCAGGAGCGTAGGTGATGCGAGAGACCCCAGGCATAGCCAGAGGTAAGTGAGCATGAGCAACATACAGCCCTCTGGGCACTATTGCAGCCACTCACCAGTCCTTGCTTCTGGGGCACCACAACCAGCACAGCCAGAACAGTGATAGGCACAGCCAGCAGCAGGGTCACGAGGGAAGTAGCTCCTGCCACAGCCAGCAGGAGGCAGCCCTTCCCCTGCGGCCTTCTCCTCCAGCCCTCCAGCCCCAGTGCCCCCATTGAGACTGAGCCAGGGCCAGGGCTGGGGGGCTTTCATATCTCAGGGGTGGGGCCACCCCCTCCCCATAGACCCACACACCTGGCTGGGACTTTCCACACACCCTGCTCCCCTCACCCAGCTTCCTGTTTACCCAGAGCTGGGGTGGGGCAGCTGGATGCCTGGGTTCCTTGAACTGGGGAAGGAGTTGAGGTGAAGACACAGGCTTTCAGGGTAGATCTAGAGGGGTTCTTAGAGAAACTCTGGCTCAACAGGGAGAGACACTGAGGCCGAGGCAGGGCAGGTAGCCTGCAGAAAGTCTGGCAGCAAAGCTGCCGTGAGAACACAGAACTCCCGATGTCCAGTGCAGCCTGCAGCCTTCTGCACCCCAGAGATGAGTGCTGGCCAGAGGGCTGCACCCATATCCCTGTGGTCAGGAACTGGGGTCTTGAGGGATAGATGTCCTGGTCCCTGAGAAGAACCTATTCCCACACTGGACTGACCTTCATTCCAGTGCTCACCCCAAACCCCAGAACTGGGTCCACAGCAATGGCAGCTGAAGGAGGTCTGCCTCACCACCGACTCCTGCCTCCCTGAAGAGGGATGGAATGAGCGTTACCTCTCTGGCTTCAGAGTACACACAGGAGAGCCACAAGGCACACCCTCAGAGAGCTTCGCAGCCCAGAGTGAGCCCTACCCATTGAGTAGGGTGCTAGCTAATTGTTTATGAATAAATCAAGAAAGGACAAATGAATGAGTAAGCAAAACCGAGCAGCACTGATCAAATGAATGTCATGGCGGACAGTGCAGTGGGAGTTGAGGGAAAGACCAGGTCCTAGGAAGTTAGAGGTTGTTGCAGATCATCTCCCCTTCTCAATGACATCTTCATGTGTTTGTATAATAATAATAATATAGCTAATAGATGAATAGCACTGTCTGGCGGGTGTGGCTCACTGGTTGGGCATCGACCCATGCACCAAGAGGTCACCGGTTTGATTCCCGGTCAGGGCACATGCCCAGGTTGTTGGCCTGATCCCTGGTGGGGGGCATGCAGGAGGGGCCAATCGACATTCTCTCTCATCGATGTTTCTGTCTCTCTCCTTCTGCCTTCCTTTCTCTCTAAAATCAATAAAGAAAAAATATTTTTTAAAAAAATAGACAAATAGCACTTAGTATATGCCTGCCACCAATCTACACACTATATATAATAATTCTTTTAATCCTGACAGAAATTCTATAAAAGGAAACTGAGGCACAGAGAGGTTAAGGAACTGGTGGACAGTCATGTTGTAGTGCAGTCAGGATTTGAAACCCAGGCAGTCTGGCTTCAGAGTTTCAAAACTAAGTGCTGACTGGCTGGTGTGACTCAGTGGATTGAGCATCATCCTATAGACTGAGAGGTCCCTGTTGGATTCCTGGTCAGGGCACATGCCCAGGTTTTGGGCTTGATCCCCAGTAGGGGATGTGCAGGAGGTGGCCAATACATATTTCTCTCTCACATTGATGTTTCTATCTCTCTCTTCTTTCCTCTCTCTCTAAAAAAAAATTAATAGCCCAGCCGGTGTGGCTCAGTGGTTGAGCGTCAACCCATGCACCAAGAGGTCGCTGGTTCCATTCCCGGTCAGGGCACATGCCTAGGTTGTGGGCCAAATCCCCAGTGGGGGGCATGCAGGAGGCGGCCAATCTATGTTCTCTCTCATTGATGTTTCTATCTCTCTCTCCCTCTTCCTTCCTCTCTCTCTAAAATCAATAAAGAGAAATTATTTTTTAAAAAAGAAAAAAAATCAATAAACCCATATTTCTAAAAAAAACTAAGTGCTGACTTCAGATTTGTGCTTTTCACTGCATGTAAATTTTATCTTTCTCAGCCCTCCAAAAAAAAAAAAAAAAAAAATGGAGAAACAAATACTGAAATCGAGTCAACAATGGGCATGGCAAAGGGTTTAGGGAAAATGTACTGCTGTTTGCAACTTTGAAAGGTATCCAAAAATGAAGTACATTGGTAGATAAGTGATAAAGCAAATATAGAAAAATGTTAATTGTAAAATCTAGGTGGTAGGGATATGTTTACTGTACAATTCTTTTCATTTTTCTATGTTTAAACTTTTTAATAATAAATGTAGAAAAAACAAAACTGAATACTGTCCTACTGCTTTGCAGGGGGAACATTGTGGAGAGGGAGGGAAGGAAGTAGCAGAGAGTTTCTGAATTTGGAAAAGAAAATGCAAATGCATATGGACCCAAGCACCAGATCTCCTGCTGACCCCTTGCCTCCACGTGAGCTCCCCAGTCTTCACCCTTCTCAGGAACGGGGTGTGCAGTTCTCCACACATCTCCCTCTCATCACAGTACCACTAAGAGGCCTTCATCCAGGTCTTTGTCCAGAGGGCCTTGAACCACTGCCCTTACTTATTTTTGTGCTTAACGTTAGAATGCTGCCTCCAGCAGAAAGTCCACCTGGATTGGTCATCCCTCCTTTCTGCACACCAACTTGTCATCAGTCCTAGATCTAACAGCAGTGCTTATGCAGATCTAGCCTGGCTGCCTTTCACATTCCTGTTAGTAAGTCAGTCAGCCAAGCAGCCTGCTAGATAAAGCTCCAGAATACCAGGCGAGTCGCCCCAAAACCACCAGAGCTCCCAGTCTGATGTGGGAGCCAGGGTGTGTGTCCACACACATTACACCGAGATCAGGAGCTCTCAGCGGATGCAGCGTGAGAAGGGATTGGGGAATTGCTAATCAGGGAAGGCACCTGGAGAAGGGATGCAGGGTCAATGGGGGGCTGGAGCTGAGGGTTACAGGCTTCCTCACAGTCCGGGGAGTCTGCAAGGAAAGATGTCCTAACCCTAACTTCCTCTGCTAACAATGTTGGGGAGGTGCCCAGGCTGAGGGAGAAGTTAAAGCCAGAGGAGGGGTGAGAATATCTGAGGTGGCAACACTTCCTTCCACCCAGGCAGCTCCAGCCAGTCTTGAGTACCCCCGACCCCCAGGCCACAGGCTCTGGGTGAGCTGGGAGAGAGTAGGGAACCTTGAGGGAGACGGGACAGGCATACCTCAGGGTGAGATGAGGCTATGCTGAGGAGAGGGTAAGTATGGTTTTGAGGTTCCCTGGGCCCTGGAGGAGTCCTCTGTCCACCTGTGTCTCTGCTCCCCTCCAAAACCAAAAACAATCCACTTCTGCTCCTACTGCCCTTGGTGGCTACCTTGGGCCCTCCTCTCTACCTGGGCTTCTGCTCCCCCCACCCCACCCCACCCACACAGCCCCGAATTTCCCTTGTGCCCAGGAGGGTCTCAGTTTCCATGCCCTGGTCAGTGCATCTGGTTCTGGGGTGAAGTCAGAGGCCCCCTGTTTGCCCTCAAACAGGAACCAGTGGCTGTTGGGCAGGAAGTGCCTGAAGGGAAGTTATGGGGCCCAGAGCTGCCTCCATGCCCCCCTCAGCCCAGCAGGCTCTGCCCAGGAGAAGAGCTCTCCAAGTCGGACCGCTCTCCTGAGCTGCTCTGGGGCTAGGGAGTGGCCCCAGCTCCAAGTGCTGCCGACACTGCACTTTCTACCTCCCCACCAGTCCCCCCACACACCCAAACTCCGGGTCCTCCTCCATGGGCCCCTTCCTGAACAGAACCTAGAACTATCCAGTGCCAGAGAGGCCTCTATGAAATGCCTGGTCAGCCTGGGGCAGAGGAAGAGGGGCAGGCTCTGGAGCTGGACCGAGCGGGCCTTGAACCGCAGCTCTGGCACCTCTGGGCTGGCTCCTCACGGGGCAGGGGATGAGCTGCTGTGCTGATGAGCAGTGGTGAACGCAGTGTGCCCAGTTCAGGGCTGAACAGGGGCGAGGCTCCTGCACCTGGGAAGGTGGTGACCGAGGGCCCACCCTTCACAGATGAGGAACTCTGGCACGTGACTAGCCCAGGTCGTTAGGCTGGCCCCAGGGCCAGCTTCCTGAGCTCCGGGCCAGTCTTCGGCACCGACCCCATGGCAGACTGCTTCACAAGTAAGGCTGCCCGCACAGGGCTGTGGGTAGAAAGCGGGGTGTGCAGTTCATGAGTAGGTGACCTGTCAGGACCAGGGTGAGGTGGGCAAGGGACTTCACGGGGAGGCCCAGACAGTGTGGACGGCAGTGCAGGCCTCTCAGGGGTGAGGCCTCAGGTGTGAGCCATGGAGCTGTTGATGGGCGGGTCCCTCTGTTAGGAGGTGAGGTAACATGCTGGGGTGAACAATTTCTGAGGGTATGTTTTTATGCCTCTAAAACTTTCGGAAAGGGATGCTGAGATATCTGGCCAACCAGGGGTCCTGAGGAGGGCAGGGGCCTCTAACACCCGCCTCTTCTACAGACACATGCCTTTTCCTCTACGGGAGCCTGGGGCTGGAGGGCTTCCTGCTTGTGGTCACGGCGGTTCTGTCCACCTGCCTGTGTCGGCTCCATCGGAGAGGTGAGCCTGCCCTGACTCCCTCATCGCCCCTCCCACACCCTTTCCTCCTGCTTTCCCAGAAGCCCCCAGCAACCCTGACACACCCTGGTCAGGAAGGTGGGAGAGGGCAGGGACACCCCAAGAGAGTGGCCAAGGCTTTGGCTGTGGGAACTACAGGCAAGTCAGCCCCAGGGGAACCCACGGATGGGGTGCTCAGGAAGGCTGGGAGGCACAATGGTTGGGTCCTGCTGAACTGCTTCTTTTCTTCCAGTGAGGAAGCTGGAGAGGAGTTGGGTGAGTCCTGGGCAGGGAAGTGGGTGAGGGGCAACAACAGGCCCGGAGGCTGAGGCTGAGATGGTGGAGGCAAGAACAGAGAAAGCAAGAGTGTGAGAGAGTCAGTGAGAGAGAAAATGAGAGGCAGAAAGAGAGAAATAAGAGAATGAGTAGAAAAGAGGAAAGAAATGGTGTAGAGATAGGAAGAGGCAATAAGACAGAAAAGAGAAAGAGAGAGAGGAAGAAATGAGAGGCAGTGGAGAGAGAAAGAAGGAGACACTGGGAGAGAGAATGAGAGTAAGAGTGGGGAGAGGGGAAGAGACACAAAGAGAAAGGACAGCAGGGAGAGCGGGGGACAGGAGAGGCGAGGGGGGGACTGAGGAGCCTGGGGTAAGAAAGTGGGGGTGGGCTGAGAACACAGGGCATGCTGGAGGGGAAGGCCCCTGGAGACCTCCCTCCATCAGCACCCTCTGCCCTGGCCCCAGGCCCATCTGCCGGAGCAGGAGCTCCACTATGCATCCCTGCAGAGGCTGCCCTGCAGTGGCCACCGAGAAAGGGAAGGCTCCAAGGAGGACCCCAGTGCCGACTACACCTGCATTGCTAAAAACAAACCCACCTGAACACGGCTGCAGGTGTCCTGTGGTTCATCCAGTGAAGACCATGGTCTCAAATTTCCTGGGTCACAGGCTTCTCAGTCCAGTTCAAACCCCTATTCAACCTGGCCACCATCAAAACTTATTGCCCTGGCCGGTTTGGCTCAGCAGTTAGAGCATCGGCCCACGGACTGGAGAGTCCTGGGTTCGGTTCCCGCTAAAGGCACATACCTTGGTTGCAGTTTGTCCCCGGCCCCAGTTGGAGTTGTGTAGGTGGCAACCAGTCCATGTGTCTCTTTCACATCAATGTTTCTCTCTCTTTTCCTCCCTCCCTCCCTCCCGCTCTATCTGAAGATAAATGCAAAAACTGTCCTCGGTGAAGATAAAAAAAAATAAAATTAAAAACAAAACAAAACTTGTGTGACTTACTTTCCCACCCACCCTGGGGTCAAGTAGTGATTTATTGGCTGCAGAAGGGTGTTTAGGGACCCAAGCTCCCCTGAAGGCCATAAAAGAGTATAGTGGTTCCCCCCTTATCCACAATTTCACTTTGAAGCAGTGGAAACATTGTTTCAGTTACCCGGGGTCAGAAAATATCAAAGGGAAAATTCCAGAAATAAACAATTTCCAAGTTTTAAATTGTGCACCATTCTGAGTATCGTGATGAAATCTCACTCTATCCCACTTTGTCTATCCCTTTGGCCAGTGAATCCCCCCTGGTTATGCTACCCAGCCGTTAGTCACTTAGTACCAGCTGGGTTACAAGGTCAACGGTTTAGGTATCACAGCCTCACGCTCGGCCACAGAGCCTCCGTCGCTCGCCTCACTTCATCCCATCACGTAGCCAGGCGTCTCTCACAGGTCACAAGGAGAAGGCTGAGTACAGGGCAGTAAGATATTTTGAGAGAGAAAGAAACCGCATTCATATAATTTCTGTTACAGTATATTGTTATAATTGTTCTATTTTATGATTGTTGTTGTTAATCTCTTATTGTGCCTAGCTTATAAATTAAACTTTATCATCTGTACATAGGTACAGGAAAAACAGTACATAGAGGGTTTAGGCATCCACAAGGGGGTCTTGAAATGGCTCCTCCATGGATGGGGAAGCGGGGGGAGGGGGGTATTGGACTATTGTATTTGTCTGTGGGCAACGGACAAGTAGGAACAGTCAGATTTGATAATCCTGGGCCTGGGCGAGTTGGGGCCCATCCTGTCAGGCCCCAGGATGATGGTGAGAGGGGCTTCAGGCAGAATTGCTGGGACGCTCCTTCCTTGAACCTTCCCAGGCCGGACTTAGTAGAAGGGGAGCGAAGAGTCAGGGGAACCCAGGGAGGGGCACTGCAGAATGGAGAAGGAAATACAGGAGACTCATAAGAAGTTAGTGGTGGGGCAGATTTATTGGGGTCTCCTGCAGAGTGCTGAGATCACTGGGGTCTGGAATCACCCATCAGAGGCTACCCAAGCTGTGGTAGTACGTTCCCATGTGACAGTGGCCTGGCGGTGACATGACCAGAGTCACTGGGTCCTGCAGCCCCACTTCTTCTCTTCTTGGTCTCTGTCTCCCCTCCTCCAGCTCTCTCACTGCTCCTCCATGTCTTCTGCCTTTGTCAGGGCTCCATGGCTCACTCTTGCCTTGGTAATAGATGGTGCTGCCCATGGCCACGGAGAGAAAGCTGAAGGCATAGAATCCAGCCCGAAGGAGGAGGACTGTGAGGGCCCCCAGCCCAGGAGATCCTGCACATAGGCGGTGAAGAGGAAGGGCTTGGTGAAGGGGACCCCTGGAAGAAGCATGCACAGGCTCAGGGGGAACAGCAGGCAGGGAGATGCAGCCCTGGAGCCTCACCCTTCTCCACCACCAGCAGAGTCCCGCTCCCTGTGCCGGTGCCCTGGCCCAGCACCTCCACTCTGCACACGTAGACCCCAGCGTCACGGCCTCGGGTGTCCCAGATGTGCAGCTCAGCCTGGTGGTCACAGAGGAAGCGGGAAGAGGCAAGAGGGGCCAAGCGGCCCCTGAATTCTGGGGTTTCATTCCTCACCTCCTTTCCTAGGGCCACCTTATCCCGGTACCACGTGACAGAGCCAATGGCCAGTGTCCCTTGGCTGGCATTGAAAGAGCAGGGCAGAAGGGCAGCGGCACCCACCTGGGCATGAATTTCAGGGGGCTGGGACACCCAGAGAGAGCAGGATCCTAGGGGCAGAGAGAAGACCCAGATAAACGCCTCCACATTTACTCTGAAGAGAAGACAAGAGAACTTGCAGTAGAATATCCCAGCTGCCCAAGGGGACAAGGACTTTGGGTGCCTCATTAAACCCTTTTCTCTTTACCAGTCTAATATTTCACATTGCTTATTAATCATTTTCAAATTCTTTCCTATACCAATTTTCACCCTCGCTGTCCTGCACCCTTTTCCAGCTGCACACCAGTAACATCTTGCTGAAATTTAATCTGCCACAATGAAATTGAAGCTTATTAATGCATGTGGCTGCCTAGTTAACTAACATCATTCATTATATCATTCCGGGTATTATTGTCATATTAATCACATTCTATGGCACACCACCCTTGCTAATTTTAAAAAAAATATTTTTATTGGCTTTTAGCGTGAGAGGAATGGAGAAACAGAGATAGAAACATCTATGTGAGAGAGAAGCATCGATCAGCTGTCTCCTGCCAACTTCCCACTGCACACTGGGCATCCAGCCCACAACCTGGGCATGAGCCCTGACCAGGAATTGAACTGTAGATCTCTTGGTGCATGGGTCAACGCTCAACCACTGAGCCACACGGCCAGGCTGTATTTTGTTAATGAGCATTAACTACTTAAATTTATAGGTGAAGCCCTGGCTGGTTTGGCTCTGCGGTTAGAGCGTCGACCTGCAGTCCAGAGAGAACTGGGTTGGGTTCCCGCTAAGGGCGCGTACTTCGGTTGCAGTTTGTCCCCAGCCCTGGTTGGTCATGCGGGTGGCAGCCACTTGATGTGTCCCTTCACGTCGATGTTTCTATCTCTCTCTCCCTCTCACTCTATCTGAACAAAAAATGGAAAAATGTCCTCGGGTGAGGATAAAAAAATAAAAAATAATTTTTTTCAGGTGAAGACATGACTATAATTGATTGAGATCCCTATTTAGCTTATCCAACTTGATGAATTAAGCCAATAATTAAAATCCCTGATTAAATTCTCTAGTGAGTGAAATTTACTGGGCATTCTTCTGTTTCAGTGGTTCTCAGACTTGAGAGCTCATCAAAATCACCTGGAGTCTTTGTTAAACCAGATCCCTGGGCCCCGCCCCCAATTTCTTACTCAGTGGGTCTGGAGCAGGGCCGGCTCTGCCCCAGGTCCCAGCTGACCCGAGGCCAAGGCTCTGGAGTCCACACTGCGCTTAGCTGAGGACTGTGTCTGACAGGTAAATTCTCACTGAATTAAAATCCACTTCACTAAGAAACTCATCTTAGATTTAATTAGATCTCCCAAACTCCTAATTATATCTAGACCCAGACATAAACTCATCAAATTTAAACCGACCCCTTTTAAAAAAATTGATCCCTTCAAACCAACTTTGCTGGTTCTTTCAACTTTTTTTTTCTTTATTGCTATTAGAGAGAGAGAGGAAGGGAGATGGAGAGAGAGATAGAGACATCGATGAGCGAGAACATCAACTGGCCGCCTTCTACATGCCCCCCACTGGGGATCAGACCCACAACCTGGGCATGTGCCCTGACCGGGAATCGTGCCAGCGACCTGTTGGTGCTGGGTAGACGCTCAACCACTGAGCCACACTGGCTGGACTGAACTTGACCTTATTAGGAAGGTAGCTGAGAAGAAAGGAGCTCTGGATGGAAGCTGGGAGTGACCCTGCCCACGGGCAACACAGAGGGAACTGAGCGGGTGAGTCCCTGGGTGTCAACTTTGTGGGGGGCACCTGCTCCCACACTCCTTTCCTTGCCCTTCCCCTCGGGGCTCAATATTCAGCCTCCACCAAGCCTGCTCCCTGGGACATCTCTGTCCAGCCTCCCCCATTGCCCTCCGCCCTGCCCACACCCCACAGGGTCCTGGGAGAAAGCCCTGTCACCTGGATGGACCATGGTAAAGATGAGCAACAGCATCCGGGCCATGTCGGAGGGCATTCCAGTTGCCAAGGGGGATCTGCTCAATGAGGTCTGGGTGGAGGAAATCAACACACACGTGACTAGGCCTTTGGTCACCAGATGGGGGTGGGGAGCTTTCTATGACACACAGGAGTCACACATCTCTTGCCAAGGACCTCAGCCTTCTGGGACCTTGGGCATGAAATGTATGACTCTCTGAGGACAGAGGTTCTGCTGATGGTGCTATCTGGGTCACTAGTAGGTGGGGACAGCATGTGGGCAGGTTGCCTAAGTGTCTGAGAGGCTTAGATGAGCGGAGACTTAGATGTCTGGTAGAGCCAGGGTGGGTGGGTGGGTGGCTGAGACCAGGATGTGGTTCCCCCAACTTCCGATGTTCAAGAACACCAACCCCTTTAACCCAGAAGCACCTCTAGGAGCCCTCCTGGGCCCAGAGCTAACCTATTTCCTCACCCATTGGCTCACCAGTGCCCAGGCCACCCCATCCAATCTGCCCCCCCCACACACACACCAGGGCAGCTCTAGAAAGTCTATCATTTCAGGGCTTAGAAGAAGCAAGCTGATTGGTGGTGGTGATAGTTCCTGTTTAACTTAGACTGTTGACTTGCAGGGTTTGGCAGAGTGAGTTCAGCTGATGGAGTGTGGACTCATTCACATCCAAATCTCCATTGACGAAGTTCAGTTCTCACAGAGGTCTGTTTACCCACAACATTCTGTGTGAATCCACTCATTTACTATTTTATTCACTGTTTAACATTCATTGAGAACGTACAGTATCCCATACATGAAATGTGTTTGTACAGACACGTTGCAGAACCCGTAACTCCAGAGCTGTGCAGGGATAGATACAAGCGAATCCATACACATTGGTTACAGATGTGTGTGAGGGCACAGCACAGAGAAAAGAGGTGATCCTGCAACATGCCTGCTGAGACATGGGCCCAGCCCTCACCACACACTTCTCTGGCTCCTTTTATTTTTTTTAATTTGTAATTTTTATTATTATATATTTAAAATTTTTTTCTTTATTGATTTTAGAGAGAGACGGGAGAGGGAGAGAGAGATGGAAACATCAATGAGAGAACATCCACTGGCTGCCTCCTGCACGCCCCCCACTGGGGATCGGGCCCACAACCTGGGCATGTGCCCTGACCGGGAATCAAACCGGCGACTTCTTGGTTCTTGGGTTGACGCTCAGCCACTGAGCCACACAGGCCGGACAAATTTTTATTATTATTTTAATCCTCACCCAAGGATAAATTTGTTGATTTTAGAAAGAGAGGAAGGGAGGGAAGGAAGGAGGTGGGGAGAGAGAGATCAATGTTCTGAGAAACACATCGTCTCCCACAAGGTGCTCCAGCCAAGGACTGAACCTGAAACCCTCAGTACACCGGACGACGCTTGAACTAACTGAGCCACACAGCAGGGCTCTGGCTCTGTCTAGATTAATACATTATTCCTGTGTCTTTGTTTCCACCTTATTTGCAGTGCGTTTATAGATGGCATAGCCCCCCTCACCAAGGTGATCTGGAGTTGTTGTTTTTTTGGAGAAGCAGTAATCTTCTGGTTACTAATGATGGCTTGGAGTCAGACTGGGTGCAAATGCCCACTCCCCCACAAGCTAGTTACATAAGCTTGAACAAATTTAAGTTCTCTGAACCACCTAGACAAGCATACAGTGTCACAGATCTGGGAAGAATTGATTTAGCCATTCTCCATCCCTGGGGGCTGCCTCCTCGGGGCACTCTAACCAGAGGGTGTGGACCCAGTGGCCATGGCAAAGCAAGGACTGCCCCCTGGTGGTCACAGAGCATGAGGAAGCCTTCAGCACCAATAGGTGGCTTTTCCCACCTGGCCTTAATTCCAGCTTCTTGACCTGTCTCTGCCCTTGCCATGTGCTATCAACACCCAAAGAGTCAATGTAGAGGAAAACGTGTCTTCTACTCTACTGCGAGAAGCCCACGGTTTGGACAGGGAGGGGAGGTCTCCATTTGAGTGGAGTGGGGTGGGGGCTGGAATGGGCTACTGGCTAAAGATAAAAGTATACTGTCACAGTGTACACTCACTCACAGAGAACTATCCCACCGCCTAGGCTAATGTGGCTTAGAAGTCAAGTCAGCCTACCTGGAGCCCTAGTTCCACTACTTACACATCAGTAAAATGGGAGGAGCACCTGTCACTTCCAGACCCTGATGTGCAGGCACTCAGTGTTGGGTAGCCCCAGGTCCTGCCCAGTCCTAGGCTAGAAAGACCAATGTTACAGCAGGACCTGAACTCAATATATCTTGCTCTCCCTTCCTCTTTTTTCTGCCTACAATGTTCAATATCCAAAAATGTTGTGGAATCCAAAGACAACACTTAGATTTAAGTCCGTCTAGAATAAATCCCGGTACGTGTGGACCCTTTTCGACAACTCTGACACGCTCTGTGGAACTTTAACCTGTGGGATGGGAACTGCCTCCCAAATCAGCTCAGCAGACACAAGGATGGAATTTTTCAAAAGAAAGTTTTACCAGGGAGTCAGGAGGAAAGGCAGTGAACCGACAGCTGTGAAGTGGAAATACACACACCTCTGCCTAACTCTAGCATCCAGTTGTGGGCTGACCAGAGTTCACTGATCAGGACCAATGAACTCCCAATGCAGAGTTCAGAGCTAGTGAAGAAATGACTGCCGGCGGGAACTCGGCGATCCCTGCACAGATGATACCACCTCACCTGAGGCTTCCTTCTCTGGTGTTGGCAGGGTTGACATGTGGGAAAGGTCTCTAGCCAAAGCCTTATCAGTGTTTTCAAACTAATTAATGGCTCAGTTTACACTTTCAACCTCTGACGACAACTTCTCCTTTGAGGCTCATAGCACTGGACCCCATCACCTTCGCTCTTTCCTTGTTGCTGTCCAACTTCCTTCACAGTCATCAAGAGTTGACATCTGAGCCCTGGCCGGTTTGGCTCAGCGGTTAGAGCGTCAGCCTGTGGTCCAGAGAGACCCGGGTTCAGTTCCCACTAAGGGCATGTACCTCCGTTGCAGTTTGTCCCCGGCCCTGGTTGGGTCGTGCAGGTGGCAGCCGCTCGATGTGTCCCTTTCACGTCGATGTTTTTCTCTCTCTCCCCCTCCCACTCTATCGGAACAAAAATATGAAAAAATGTCCTCGGGTGAGGATAAAAAAATAAAAAATAAGAGTTGGCATCTGACTCTCTAGGTTCCTTTCTACCACAACCTCTGTCGTCTCTCTGGAAGAATTAACATCCACGTACATGACATTTTAAACACTGAGATATAGTATGTACAGTAAAATGCACAGATGTTAAGCGTACAGTTTGATGATCTCTGGCAAATATATGTCAACAATGCTGCAGCTGAGCTATAGATCATTCCTGTCACCCCAGAATTTCCCATTTTTGGTCAATCCCTCTCCCCTCCCAGAAGTAACCACTGATTTATACCCCAAAGGTAACTTCATGTCAGTGGAGCCCTGCGGTGTGCACTCCTGGATCTGCAGCGTCTGTGACGACATTTACCTGTGTTGTTTCACATGTCAGCAGCTTGTTCCTTTATTGCTGAGTAGTATTTTATTATACTACTTTGTTTATTTTATTATGTATTATTGGGTTGTTTTTTATTTTTTGCTATTATGAATATATTTCCTATGCACAGTCTTGTACACACTTCACAAATGATTTTTCAATACTCTATTTCACAGTGGCTTCACGTCGTCCACTCCAACCGTCACCTTGACTCTACGTGACCTACATCTTGATCTCCACACTGTGGAAGCTATTTCACTTTGAAATCTTACCTCCTGCCTGGCTGGTGTGGCTCAGTGGTTGAGCGTCGACCCCTGCACCAAGAGGTCACCAGTTCAATTCCCAGTCAGGGCACATGCCCAGGTTGTGGGCCAAATCCCCAGTGGGGGGCGTGCAGGAGGCAGCCAATCAATGTTCTCTCTCATGGATGTTTCTATCTCTCTTTCCCTCTCCCTTCCTTTCTCTAAAAAAAAAAAAAATCAATTAAAAATATTACGAAAGAAAGAAATCTCACCTCTTCTTTCACAGGAATGTAAAAGCAGATGGGCCTGAGTCCCTCTGGACTCCTGTGCTCCACTCACGACGTTCAAGCCATTCTTCTGTTGGAGGACTTTTGAGTTGTTTTTTTAATTTTCAATCAATAAATTTTGAGCATCTACCATAGGCTTACCTAGGCAATCCTGTCACAGTCACAACTTTAATTACTGCTTCCCCATCTCAGCCTACACCTTCACCTCGGGCCTTTCTTGAGGTCTGAGTACAGAATATCGAACTGCCCTCTCTAGATAACTGTTTGAGAAGGTCACGCAGGCATTCCAGAATCATCAGCGTCCACCACCCGGGTCAGCCTCCTGTATGCTCTCTGTCAGTGAATGGAAACACAATTTGTCCAGTCACTAAGGCAAGACTCTGAGAGTTGTCCTTTCTGCCTTCTCCCTTAATTCCCCATCCAGACAATCCCCCAGTCTGGTCCATTCTGCCTGGGAAATATCTTGACTGTATGTCCCTGCCTCTTCATTCTCACTGCTGGTTAAGGCCTTCGTCACTGCAGGTGAGACCAGTACAGCCGCCTCTCTGGCGGGGTGTTTTCTTCTCACGGTCATTCCGCACCTCCTGTGTGACGTCAGGCTCCTGTCCCTTCCAGCACTTTCCCTGAGGCCTTCCACCTGCCACACACCCCAGCTTCACCGTCCCTGTGGCTCCTCCGCTCACTTCTCTTCTTAGCTCTCCGACCGACCGCCGATCTCCGTCCGCCACTCTTTGTCTCATCATCTTTGTTCACATCACTTGTTTCTTCTCCTTCTCTGTGCCCATATCACACATCTCTCCACCTCCACACACACGTGCATCACACACGTCTGCTTCTTCACTCATTCATTTATTCATTCATTCAACAGCTGCTTAGTGCGCACCTTCCAGGTGACAGACGCCTTTCTCTCCAGGCTCCTCTCTTCCCGGATCTCTCTCCACTTCTCTTTCTGCCTCCCCGCCTTTCTCCAGCGCCCTCCCCGCCTCGTCCAC